GTTTGTGCTTGGGAAAGCAAGGAATGTTTTGCTTTGCTACAGGAATCTATTTCTGTTTTTCCAGACTTCATCATCCTGTCAGTGTGGGCAATGCTGGGCCTCAGCGGGGTCACTGTGCAGCTCCGCCGGGAGAGGAGTGAGGTGCCCTTCCCACCACATCCCTATCTCAGCTGGAAGAGAGAAAGAGAGCGTAGAAGCACCAATGTCTTAGACCCCAGCCATCATATCCCTCCCCTGAGAGAGAGGATCCACAACAAGCTGCTGCATATCAAAGAGTTCTTCCAGAAAGACCAACCAGCTGGGGAGAGAACTCCACTGCTTCTGTAACTTGCCAAATAACAGGTGGGAATGGAGAGGGAGGATCTGGGAATGGTGAGATGATTACCAGCAACCAGCCAGTGGTGCAGGATTTACCACTGCTAATTTGTCCTGCTGAATAAGAGATTGCTGCTTGGCCAGCTTGACAGAGCAGTTCACTATCCAGTACACTACGTACTGTTTGTGACTCTTCTGTGGCACACTCTGCCTGCTGCAACCTGCTTGTGTCCAGCTGCAGAATCCTGTACTTATAGCCAAGGACAGGCATTGATCCTGTGGGGTCTACTTTGCTGTTTAGGTATGTGGAATATCAAACAGGCCTTGGAAAGCAACCTGCTGATTGTTCCTTGCACGTAGAAATGTCTTCTGAGGCAGTGCCCAACTTGCTCCCAAGGGTGGACAGCCTGTCCAGCTGTGAGGGGAGGGACAGGTACTGGACATACAAGGAGTTCTTCCAGCAGGAACTGAGCATCTCCTTCTAACAGGTACAAAATGTGTGGCTGCAGACACTGGTTTCCAAGAAGTGTTACTAAACCTTGCAAGCCAAACTGAGTGACTTGAATTGAAACTGCACCGAGTTAATTGTTGTACGTGTGCACTGTGGGGCTTGGGAACAGGGACTGATCTGAGACTTTTTCCTTTGCTTTTGGGTGGCTTTGTAGCAAGTCATCTGGTCTCTGTGCAGAGATGGCTGCTAAGAGAACACAAGAGATTTGTCTCCTGTTTGCTTTCTGAACAGCCTGTGTCTTCTTTCTGCTCTGGAATAGTATCTTTTTTGATGGTGCTGTCATGAAAGAACTTTTGTAAATGAGCTCCTTGTAGCCAATTGCTATTTGTTTCCCCCTGGAATTGGCTGAAACACTAATTATTTATTTTTAATCATCTTTTAATTTTGCCTTTAAGGGGTGAAAACAGCATTCAGCTAGCAAGATACTGACCAGGAACCTTGCTGACTGTGTTCCTTACCTATTTGAATTGCATCTGCCCAAAGCAGAATGTAGTATAAAAACAGATGAGGGACCAGTTTAATGTGGTGGCTTTATGCTCTTCCTCAAAAAAAAATCCCAAGAGCCATTTTCAAAATGGCAGCTAGAGCAATGTGTTTTTGGCTCATCCCAAAAAGACCTGATGGTGTTTTATCTGAGCTTCTCTCTTGTCTTGGTGTCCAGTGGGGGTCTGTCATGCACTGAAGGGTGACTCATGTCTCACATGCTGTACCTTGACACAGGGTTATGGTGACTCTTCCTCCTTCTCCCTGTGTCAACCTTCAGTGAGGGCAGCCAAGTGCACAGTCCTGTCTGTGTGAGGTGAATGGCTGCTCAGGTGCCTGCATGGAGCCTCCATGAGGGACTTCCCCAGGGGTGGAAGCTTAAGCTGTCAGCCCCCCCCTTTAAATTTGTGGTAGGAAATCTGTAGAAAACAGCTCTTTCTGAGGAAACTGGCAAAATAACTTTTTCTGGGAGTTTTGTTAGAAGTTAAAACACTCTTGCATAGACAGGAATGAATGACTTTGAAATGGCTTTCTTTAAGGAGTGAGAGCTCAAAGACAGTGTCTGAGATGACTGAATCCTTCTGATGTTTAGAGACAAATCCCATCCTTGCTTGGAGCTGGACCATCTGCCTCTAACAACAAAGCAAGGCTGAAATCCTGCGGTTTGGGTCTGATTTCCCTGTGCTGTTATGTGGCACATGGGGTAAACAAGGAGCTCTTCCCTCGGTCTCTGCCCGTCCTCCTTGCACTCATCCTGAGCATGTCTCTGCCATGTGTCATGGCAGGCAGCAAACCCTTCTGTGGTATAGAAATGCTCCTAAACATGTTTACCTTGGTGAGTTTTTATAACTGCTGTGATTAACATTGTGCAAGAAACAAGTTTCATTTTCTATATCTTTTATAATAAAGATGTCTTTTCAAAAAATATTGAAACTAAAGGGGTCTCTTTGAATTCAATGATGCTTTTACAGTTTAGCCTCTGCCTTTGATCTTGTATGGAGAGTTTGCTTTGAAAAATTTCTTCTGGCCAAGGGCTGAGGTGGGGGAGCTTGGCCGGCATTGCAGTGACACCCAGAGGCTGAGAGTGTGGCATGTGCTCTGTGCAGCCACTGAGGAAAGTGCTTGGTCCAGAGAGGCTTTTTGAGACCTTTGTCAGATGAGGCACTGGAGAACAAAGAAATGGTTGTCATCCCCTTCTTGCCTGAAAACTGGTCTGCAAGATCACATAGGAATCTTCTAGCAGAAGTGGGCTTTGAACTCTTTTTCTGAGATCCTGACTTGGAGATTGTATTTCCTTTTTTTGGTTCTGCCAAGCGATGGTTCAGGAATTGTCTTCCATAGTCCCTAAGCCACAATGATTAACAGTGGTGATGATCCGAATACATGAACTGATCCACTGCAGTGTTGAAGGGGTATTTTCAAGTCTTTTTTTTTGTTCCACTTGAAATCCAGGATCTGTTTAAGGTCCTATACAGCGCAACGCTTTCTATGATTCTGTGATTCCCTTCTGTCCTTGCCTAGAGCTGTCCTTGATCTGGAAAGCCTTCCAAAAAAGAGGAAGCCCCTCCAGAGGCATCAGTAGACTCCATCTCAAAATGTGCGTTTTTCACTGAGCCTCGGAGTTTATCTCTCTGCCTTCCGACCTGTCAGCAGCTGTAGGTCTGCAGTGATCTTGGCAGTGTTTTTTGGGGCAAGCTTTAGTGGAACTTTGGTTCCTGGTTGGTTTATCCAGTGAAGAGTCAGCATAAGAAACACTGAGCCTTTGGGTATGCAAGGTGAGTATTGTGTTAGGTTATTGTGTCCTTACTCAGGGGCAGGAATGCATTGATATATTGTAATATCCAGATTTATCTGGATTTTGCCAATGTCCATCTGGTTGCCTTCCCCTCCCACATCCTGGATTAATATGCTCTGGTGGCTGAGTTTTCTCTGGAAACAACAGCTCCTGTAACACTTGTGTGTTCAACAGGTGCTTGTTGTTTATTATATTTTTTTAATTGCTCTCAGAGCCTGTCTGGTCCAGCCCCTAGCTCCAGGCAGCCACCTGACTCCTGCTGGGAAGGGCTTTGTGCTTCCTTGCATGCTGGGAGAAGTCAACTTCAAACCACACCAATAAACGAGCTCATTTTGGGGGCGAGAGGGAGTGGCAGGAGAAGAGGGTTGTGTAAAACTTCTCTGCCTGCTTCAGAATCTACACAAGGCTGCCTCATCAGAAAAAGCATCAGTTCCAACTTTTTCGTCTTATCTGGTGTAACAACAGATTATCTAAAATGCTCAAAACAAACCGGATTCATTTCTTTTTTTATCCTGAATGCTGAGGGTGAGGGGTAAAGCCATATGCAGGAAGCAAAGAAGCACAGGTAGAGAATTGTAGGAGGCAGTTGCTCTTTGCTTTGCCGGGAATGTAATGAGTTGGAGATGATGACTCATTTAAAAATGTGTTTGTGGAGTTCCTGAGTGTAGTATTGGAAAAGGAAAGGTGCTGATCACCCTGCATCCATTGGTTTGCTGTGTTCAGCTTCCAAGAACTGACTTCTCAAAACCAGCTCTACTGCTGCTCACTGCTGGAAGAGCCATCCTCAGGTGTATGGATTGGGGGATTTCTGGTACTGAGAACACTGCAGAGAAGTCATTGTCTGCCATTCTTCAAAGAAGTAAACCTTCACCTTGGGAAATGGAAAGAGATTGCAGCTGGAGTTGGTGGGTTTCCCCTGTGCCTGTTCTCTGGCTGGTGCCTGAGAAGTGCTGCCAGCACATGCTTCTTCCAAGACTGCAGTGACAAAGTGTTTCCCTTCTTGCTGGTTAAGGCAGTTGTCAGGTGAGTGTTTTCTGAATGTGGGAAATAAGGATATTCCCTGATGCATGTGCCACACTGGCTCTCAATGTCTGGGGACAGGAAGGTAGTTGCACGTAGTAGAAACTGAGTCCCACTTCCCATACAGTTCCTGTTTAGGCCCACTTATGCTAAATGGTCCATAAGCAAAGGAATGACTTGATGTAGTTTTGCATACAGCATCTACTACAACCTGCATTTAGTTGACTTGTGCTATCTTATCAGCTTGGCTGGATAACAGATGTGTGCAGCTGATTTGTCACAGAAGAACTGATAAAAATTACAAAATACTTGTCCAAAGAAGCTGTGGCTGCCCCATCCCAGGCAGTGTTCAAGGCCAGATTGGAAAGGGCTTGGAACAACCTGAGATAGTGGAAGGTGCCTCCATGACAGGAGGTAGCACAGGAGGAGCTTTAAGGTCTCACCTTCCCTCTGCCCTCATACTGTGAGCAGCACCAAAGTGATGGCCAGTCGTGCCATAGACACTCCGACTCCAGGCTCTCAAAACAAGTTCAACTTTTACATTCCAACAGAAGACTTGGAAATTCCTCTTTTAACCAGAAAAATTGCTTAAGGATACTCCCTAAGCCAACGGGCATTTATACAGAGATCCCAGTACATGCAATTCTGCATAAAAACAGTGCCATTAGTTCTCTATTTTAACAATCTTGTAATCCCATGTGCTTGTTAAAAAGTCAGTGCTGTTCAAAACTTTGTTACACAAACCAGCCAAATTTAGTTTGTCTGCCCTCAGCTGAACAGCTGCCACATAGAACAGTTTTGGTTATTTTCTTATCATGTGCTGCCAACAAGGGTCATCTCAGAGCCAGTACCTTGCTTTAGTCATGGAGACATCCATGTTTTCAGTCAACTTTATTGATAAAATAAGTTTACTGTACAGTACACAATTCTAGCCATAAATCCTTTTCAAGCCATCTGCATTACAAAAATAACAGGTATGCAATGAAAAATAGTCATTCCACACACTGTAAAGCTCTTAAAATCCTAAAGTGATCAGGGTAGGGAAATGAAAGGGGAGACGTATCAAACGTGAAGACTATGAGTAGATAAATTAAGTCACTTTTTTTTTTTGATTTACAAAAATAAACACTAATCAAGCACTATTTCATAATAGAGCAACCTCTAAGTACTGCCACAGACCAACAACCCTTTTCTGTATTCGGGAGCCAAACCAGAAGTCAGCCATGAAGCTGAATTCAGTATGAAATTGATAGAAATGCCTCCTGACACCAGTGCGTGGCTGAAAAGATGCTTCTAGAAACAAGAACGTCAACAACTGAACCCAAAATTCCTTGTAAGTTTGCAACAACAGAACACTTCAGTGAAAAAAAGATGTTGCTTCTGGTAAGTCAGCAGCTTGCAAGCCATGGCAGAAATGCAAAACCTAGATTAGAGAAGCACCAGCAAAGCTTTACAGATAATATAAAAGCAGACAAGAATATTTTGTGCTTGAGCTAACATGTTCCCCAAGAATTTCCCCATGGCTGTTTCACAAGTCTGGAAATGGCCATAACTTTTTTCCATGCATGTCAATGTCCTCAGTGTGTTACTAAGCCTAGCAAGAAGCCAAGGTGCTCTGTAGAGAAGCAGGAGCTTCTCCATTTCTAAAGCAGACTGTAAGAATGTGGAGACCTGATTTACCTGTTCTATCAGCATGTGTATTAGTTCACTGAAAACCAGCATTTATTGCCTGCTAATACTCCTTTCTCACTTATTTCCTCTTAAAAGCACTATGGGAAGGAGCAGCAACAGAGAGAACAAAGGTACTGAGCTGCTCCTAAGTCAATTCAGTGCTACTGAAAGCTCCCCCTTAGGCCTATGGAACATTTAACTTGAGCTCAGGGAAGCTGTGCTGGGGCACAGGAAGCTGTATTGAAGTTGGCATGCTTGGAAGTGTTGGATGCTTAGTTCCTTCTGTGTTGCTATGGCTAGAAATCAAATCCCTTTCTGCTGCCACTGCTTTTGCGCTTTCCAGTTGCCATTCCTCACTCAGGAAGTTTGGGCAGGCAACTGGAGAAGAAAGACATGGGATTCGTGTGGCTTCTTACTGACAGAGAACTGGGCTGGATTTCCCCTCTTAAAGGTAAAAGCTGAGGCGGAATTGTATTGCTAACTGTGTTCCTGAGAACAACAAGGGCGGGAACAGCTCTTCCCATGTTCTCACAATCCAATTCAGTGCACATATTTGAAAGAATCTTGTTTCATTTAAAAACTCCAAACTATTGATTGACAGTGTTCCTTACGTTTAAAAACTGGCCTTGTATTTTAAAGAGAGACCCCAAGGTTAAATGACAGAAATCCTTAAATTTTAGGCTGCCTGTGTGCCTCTCCAATCAGAGGTTTGTTGCAAAAAGAGAAGTTATTAAAACCAAAACAAAAGGAAAAAATGCTATGTGGATTATGCACAGAACATATAAGTTACTACTTTCTAAGGCAGAGATCAGACTTGAAATCTTACCTTCATTATCTAACAGTTGCACTGAACTTTGTATAATTTATATAAATTATATATAATTTATATAAATTTATACAAATTACTTGAAATCTCACATTTTATCTGTAAAACAAGTTCATATAAAAAGAATTTGCAATTCAGCAAGTGCATGAATCCATTTCCTACTGAGGTTAGACCTATGGCAATCAATCTGTCACTGAGGGTATTGCAGAACACCAGCTGAATTTATGTTACACAGTATAAAAGCCACTGAGCTGGCGTTGCATGTATTCTCTTGCTGGTGCCCTATTCAGTAATAAGTGCTTGACCAGTGCCCCCTGATGCTCCATTGGTTTAAGTGTGCAACTGAAGCTTGGTGATTCCCAAAGTCCTTAGCTTTTCCTCAGGCTCAGATCACTGCTTGTTACTAATCCTGACAGGGACGTGCTCTCTGATGCATCATCTTTCTTGAGGTTCAGAAATGATTCTCTAGTGATTTGAAGAATTTCTCTCAAGCCTTTGTTTTCTTGCTAAAATCAGAGAGTGAAAAATACATTAATAGAACTCCAGAAAGAAATCAGGTAACTCTTAAAGCCTCCCCTCTACTCCAAATTAATGCATAAGGAGTAAAACACTGACTTGAAATCAGTACTGTGTCATCTTCTCCAAGGGGGCACATGAGGTTTCTGACCTTCCTGCTCTCTTGGATGGGCTTTAAGTACCCCCTCCTTGAGATTAAGCTGTAGGAGTTCTTCCCCTGCTCCAGCAGGCAAGGGTAACACAACAGCAGGGAGTGACTGGGACGGAAACTCCATAAAACACCTGGGAGGATCTTTACTCCCCTTAATATCTGTGCCCCTGCAGCTTTCTCCTCACCTCGAGCTGGGTGATGCGCTCCTGCTCCTTGCAGCTGTGCCTTTCATCCACCTCAATGGCTTTTCTCATCACTGCTGCCATCTCTGTAATTTGGTCCACGTGCACTTGCAACTCCTGAGATACAATATTTAGTAATATCTTAGTGATATATTTTCTGCATTATTAAAAAAGCAAAGCATTAAACATGATTTAGCTGCTGTGACATTTTTTATCACAGATCCCAATTTTGGAAAATAAATTCTCTCTAACTTTACAGTGTGGGCAGCCATAATGGTCCTGTTTATTTAAATTAACCTGGTTTGCCCCAAAGTGGAATTGATAGAAGCTTAACCAACTGATCCCTGACCTAAAAATGGCTAAAAGACGGTGCTGTGCTTGCCCTGACCAGGCCCTCCTGTGCAGCAGGAATTGATGTTTCTTATTTTGGATACGCAAAACTGTTCCACTCATGTGAGAACAGCAGGGCAAGCCACATTCCTTCCAGGTGTTTCAAACCGGGTCTCCAGTACCAGTCCATGGACAGGCATTTCTCTCTAAAAAAGAGCAGGTGCAGTGGTTATCCTTACTATGTCATATATTACAAAACTCAAGCCTGTCCTCCACTCTCTGTTGTAGATACTTTTGCTTGACTCCACCTCCAATTCCAGCTTATCTGGGCTCTGGACTTCAGAGGTTCAGGATAAGGGTCACTGTCTTTCCCTGCATTGCTACATGAGAAGCCTGTGCCCCTCTGGCATTCAGTGCCGCTCAGTTAAGCCAGACAGTTTAAAGGAATTTCCAACAGCTTTCATTTTTCAACTTGTCTTTTATTCCAACTCTGCTGGGATGCCAGTCTAGTTGTGCCTGACCTGGCCTTTGGACAAAATCCACAGTATTTATTGGCTAGTATCAGGAAAAGCAGGACAGGAGGGCTGAAATGAAGGCCAGTAGAGACTAAAGCTAAATCCCGCCTTTAAATTATGAATTTAATGGGAGATCTATACAGCTGGCAGATTATCAGCTTGCTTTTAAACTACCATAAAGAACTGCCTCAGCTGGAATCATAAACTTATCTGATGAAAACAAATACCTTTTACTGAAATAAACATCAGCCCTTTCCCCTCTGCCATTCCAATTGCTCAAGCTATAATTTAGCACTTGTTAAATGCCCACTCTCAATGTGAGGGGGTGAGGAAGAACTTGTTGTAAATCTTTATTTTCTTCTCAGTTTCCAAGGCAGGTGATGACATGAATTTTTTTTTTTTAAAGAACTCCCAAATTTAGCTTGACAGGAAGCTGTGGTCAGGCAAGGATGCACCCTGGAGATGGACTGGGTAGGAGCTGCGGGTTTCAGATATACTGTTGTCCTCCCTGCTTCCTGCTTTCACAGCTCATTTGGGCTCTGGATCAATACAACTTCGGGCCTGTTCCAAGGTCACTGATGTTAGGTCACACCCTAACACCAAACTGGAAGGCTCTGCTCTAGAAGGCACATGTGGAAAACTTAGGGTAAAACCAAAGAGTGCAGTGACCATAAAAGCCTCTGTGTATCTCTCTCTTTTGTACACATTGGGTTTTTTCTCTCTAATAAAGATAATAAAGAGATAAAACCAAAAAGGGAAAGCACCCATTTTAGAGCCTTGTTTCAGCTAAGCAAATTCAAACAGCACACTTAGATCAGGGTCACTACTACCAACACAGACTCTTCTCTTACACTAACAGAAGACACTCTTGTTCTATTTAAAGGAGGTGCTTCTTCATCTGCAACAATCAATGCTCTTGTAATAATCTGTAAACAGGCACTAAAATAATAGCTGGCACTTGGGAAAATAGCATTACTGGGAACAGGGAGCTTAACTCCTTGAGTATAATGGATTTTTTGCTTAACGAGAAAAAGGTATTTAAAAAGTGTTTCAACATTGTTCAATCTTCTGAATATGAAGCTTGAGCCAGAGAATAAATAATGAAATTCCAGAAATCCTATGTGTCAGGATAAGGGTGATAAATCTTTTTCATCAGGCATTCATGAAGGAAGAAGTTTAATGAAAATGCTGAAGCCTAAATCTCCTGTTCCAATTACATGGTGAGATTTTTTCTTTTTTTTTTTTTTTCTTTTTCCTGCCTTTCCATTGAAGTGCACCTAAATGAACTGTCACAGTCCATTTCAGGATGGATTTCATTTTACCCACTTGTGTTGGTTCTCCTGAAGCTGGAGCAGGTGCTATATCATATTCTGAGGTAACTTCTGTTGAAAATGATCTTTATCTGTCATTTTTCAAGACTTTATGTTAAAGATACAGTTCTAATCCAATAATATATTTTCATACCAATGGCAAAAATTACACACATAGGATGCTGTAAGTAGGCAAGAAAGAATAAAATTATTAAATTCTGTTTTCCCAGTAAGCAAACCCTAAGTTTGCTTTGCAAACTTAAATTAGCTGAGGGCAAAGATTATTAAACACTTAGAACTTGTTTGTCTACACAGCTGCATTGCTCTAATGATTATGTTACAATCTCAATGAAATGCAATACTTTGCTAAAAAGCTCCTGTTTAGATCTGTTGGTGACCCAGAATAATGAATTCCCCCAAAATTTAAAAGTCCTTTTGACTAACGAATGTATACTTGAACATACACTTGTGTTTCCTGCTTCATCCAGTTAACCAATAGTCTAAAGTACTTTTAATTTTTAAAATTTATTTACAGTATTTAGGGGAAAAAAAATTTAAATATTGAATTTGAAAAGCTTTTTCATCCTATTTTCCCTAAGCACAGGTTTATTACTGATTTTTTGGTATCACAAGCATAAATTAAAGCTAGTCTAAAAGTCTTACTAACCTCTGGAAGTGTAACAGGGCAGTTGCCTTAAAGACTGAAGTGAAACAGAAGTAAATTAAGCAAATGCAGTAATGAAATGCTACCTGTTTAACGTTTTAATAAATGAGAAGCTGGTAAGGTTGACTTACTCAATTGATAGTTTCCTGATTGTGTTGCTTGGCGTGGATTATAAAAATTTGGACTCATTAGTAGTACAACAGCATAAAAATTGACATAAAGTGAGCTTTGAATTGATTCACTACAAACTAAGGTGTTAACTAAAAAACAAAGCAAAAACCCTCAATTAAGTTATTACCTTGGAATGTTGCTCTTTTAACTTCATTATTATACTTGGATCATCCTTTTTGCTCGCCATAAGCAACCTAAACATCTGTTCTCTGTACTTGCTCATGATGAGTTCCAGAGCTGACTGGTGCTCTTCGAGAGATGTGCGCAGTTCTGCCAACAGAATTTAAAATGCAGTTAAGAGTTGAACACAGAAAACCAAATCAAAATGCACAAGTATTTCAGCTTGAGAAAACCAAAATGAGCCTGTAATTGAGTGTCCCCATGCTCTGCACCATGAAATCTACACAGGCTCTGCAAATGGCTTTGATGTGACAGCCTGGGAGAAATCCTGGTCAGTAACAAACAGTCTCTTGTTAGTGTGACTTCGTGTTCAGTCCCTGTGGCTGACAAAAGTGTGGCTGAGAAGCTTTACCCCAGCCACTACAAGCCACACTGCACAAAAGGCAGGAAGGAGTTCACAGATCTGTCTTAATCTGCAGCTTGGTAAACCCAGAGTCGAAAAATGCTTCTGTTCAAAATATACTGAGTCAAAGGATAAATAACCCCTGAAACAAGGCAAGACTCATCTGAATGGAGATCACTGAATCCTTTGCTGAGTGGAACTGTTAGAATACCTATGGCTTTCCTGAAGGAACAGTGCATTCCTAGTCTACAGAATTCCAGAAGGAATTACACTTTTCAACTTACACCGTAACTTTTCCTGACTGTTCCTATTATTTTCAGCAGTTGTTAAACGCTTCTCCAAAAAGATCCCTATATTGCAGAATGAAGTTCTACTTATCCCCTCACTTGTGCTGGACACTAGGTAAGGACCAAAAAAACTAATTTTTCCCAAATCTCTCTTTTTCTTCATCAGTCCCACAGGTTGGACTTTAGGACTCCTGAAATGAATTTTGATCAGTTAAACTGACAAACTGAAATTAGAAGAAAAAATTTCTTCTACAGCTCTGTTTTGAAAAATGATCAATGGTAAAATTCTCACTATTTCCAGTGATACAGGCTGGACCTTGAAAAGGATAGAATATTCATATTTTACCTTTGTTTTCCTGTTGCAATTCCCTAATCTGTCTGTTTTCCTGCTGGATACCCATCACTAGAGTAGAACGAGGTCGATGTCTTGCTACTTCATTGAGCTCTTGGATTTCTTCCTGGTACTGGTTATTACAAAAACAAACCAACAAGGTACAGCATATTTGATTAACCCAAGGCAGGTATTACACAGCAGGTCACAAAGCACCAGTTCTACTGTCACTCACAGTCTATAACCAGGAAGACAATGCTTATTTTTAAATAACAGTATCAAACACACACACCAGAAGGTGTTGCAGACATCCTGTCCTTTAGAGGCACAAAAGCATGACCTTAGATGTGTGTAGTAGATGCTATTTAACCTTCAGTTAACGTAGGCCAAGTTCACCATCAGGCAATTTAAAACTCATAGAGATGTGGTAAAGACAAACCATGAGGTATTAACGTCCTAACATTTACTGTGGCTTCCCAAAACCTTAAACCACAGGGCTGTGTGGGTACAAGTTACTTGGGTCCGCATCAATGAGTCCTGACTCCCGATAGATGGGGATATGTCATACTCTTGATCTGAAGCCATTAAGCCTCTGTATGCCTAGTTTTACAAGGCTGAATTGCATGCAGGAGGTTACAAGTTTATAGGCCCATTAACATATCTTGGGTTCATTAAAGTGAGAGGATGGACTCCCATATGGAAAGTCACAAGACACCTTTATGTTTTCCCAGGAGTTGTCTTGTTAAAGTCACACTCAATCTAACAATGTTCCTTGAGCAGCTCAACATCAGAATAGAAGTGAGTGCAAAAAAGCCCAAGAGGCTATTTTGGAAACAAAAGGAGACAGTGCAAAAAGTACTCTGTACAGAAGAAAACACATCAGAGCCTCTAATTAAATGGGCATGCCAAAATTAATAAAAATGTGTAGTATTGCATTGGAGAGCAAACCAAGAGACACCACAGAGTGGTTTGTAAGATACCAAGCCCATTTCTACCAGCGTTCTTCAAATAAATGCTTGTTTTCAATATTTAAACTAGAGTAACTGTGAAAATGTTTTCACAGTCTCAAACTCTATAAACAAGCTATTTTTAGATGAGAGCCACACCTCTACTAAAAACACCAAGTCTGCATTACAGGCTTAACCCAACACCACACTCATTCTGTGCTGCACAGAAGCCCCCAGAGGATGTGCTGCCATTGCCCGGAGCAAGCAGGGCTGGAGAGCAGACCTGTTTCATGGCTTCCACCCGCCTGTTGAGCGCCGTGGTCTGTTTGATGAGCGCCTCAGCTGCACTGTCATGTTCCCTCAGCCGCTCTACCAGCGCCTTCGCGTCCGCCAGCGCCTTCTCAATGGTGCAGCTCATTTCTGAACATGACAAAGGAAGTGTTAGCACCACAGCACCTCTGCACAGCACAGCTACCTGGGGCATGGATCAGCTGCCAGAGGCAGGGCACTGAGCACAGCAACTGTGGGCAGTGCTGGTGCTTCTGGCAGAAAGTAAAAGAATGTTACATGAACTCATTCATTTTTAATGCTACTTTTTTTCATGTGCCCTCCTAACAGATATGCTTCAGGATAACTAAGGTATAAATCCAGCACAAAAGAGAATGCTGAAGGATTACAGTGGCCTGGAAGATTCTGATGACTTAAATCAGCAGAGAAGGAGCAGCTCAAACTGACAGAGTAGAGAAAATTGCTCAGGGAAATTTCAGAAGATGAAAGGCTTGTGTTTTGCTCATGTCTATAAATGAACACAAACATTGCTATGTGGAATGGAACTGTGACATTTTCAACAGCACAGAGAAAGACAGCACCTCAGCTAATGAAAAGAAGAAATTGCACCTTTAAAACACCGCCATTCTACCTGCAGCATCTGTTCACAGGAATTATAGATTGCCAGAACTGTCAAACTTGCCAAATGCTTGTGTCTATTGTAAACAGTACTAACCTTTACACTAATTTTTTCATATTCATACTTTGTAGGTTAAGTTTCAAGACCAAGATTTTCAGTCTATGTTTTCTTTTTCTTTTAAGGAATGTTGGACTTAGTCTATTGAAAAGGAAATCTACTTAAACTCCTTGAAGTCTTCAGCAATCAAACAGCAGCAATAGAAGTTTATAAGATTTATGAGCCTTATTGATATCAGGCTTAATATTTGGTTTATTAAATGTTCTAAGATACTGAAAGAATCTATTAAATCCACTTCTTAGCCAGGCTATTTGCAAAAGAAAAGATTTTTGTAAGCATTAAAGATTATTGAGTTTTTCTTCAGCTACATGAAAAAAAAAATCGCTTCATGTTGATTTTCTAACTTTCTCAGGCACCTTTACAAATCATAGCCCAGAATATTAAGCCAAACTTAAAGAAACCTCAAATTTGCCTCATCTGACCTTTTGCTCTTATGCCAGGTAAGCAGAAGGAAGGATATTTCAAACACTAGACATTTTACTTGTATTTTCTGGGATTCATGTGCTATCAAAAGCATCAATATTTTGGCATGGGCAGCTTTCCTGTTTAACGGATAGTGTTTGCATTTAACTTTCCATATGAAGTATTTGAGATAGCCAGGCCTTCAGCACACTGCTGGGCTATCACAGGTGGTTAATTTATTCACCTTGACTTAGTACTTGGAGCTCTTTCAAATACAAAAAATCACACTGCACTGTTTTTAGAGATCTGCTTTTCTTGCTCCTCCCTCCAGTCAGATGTCCTACAGAAATATCCCAGACAAAACATGACATTCCCCACTAACTGGCTGAACTGCTGCAGAAATTGCTTTAGTGAGATCCATGTTGCTGCTGAAGAGCAGCCTTTATTTCAGCTCACTGTCCAGGAATTCTCTGACCAGTATAAACAAAGCCTCTGAGGCCACTACATGAGCTGGGAATACATTTGGCATTCACACTACAATGCACTCAACACCTCTGATAATTTGTCTGCATCCACATATATTTTTTAACAGTGTATATTTAATTGATGTTCTCATTTTTGCCCCAGTCCAACCATATCAGAGAAAAGGATGTTTGTTTGTGGCAAAGACACTGATGTTTCTTTTCACAGGGAATGTGCTGGGAAAGACGTGGGGAATACAGCCTCAAAAATTCTGCAGTTGCTGTCCCCTGTCAGGCCAGGGCCCAGCTCCAGTTTTCAGGCACCATTTGTACCTCAAAAAGCAAAATCACTGTTTGTATCATGGTAATTCACAGTGGCCCCAAATCATGGCTACGCTACCTTTCAAGCAAGACACCAGTCCTTGAAACTTGCTCTCTGGCTGCCTGTGAAAAACAAGACCTTTGCCTGATCCTGAAGCTGAGCTAAGTCTGTGAGTTAGCCTGGACACTTAGGGGATGGAAAAAACTCCAATTAATCACTAATATAATTGATTTAAGCAAATTCTTATCATATATTATTTTTTATGAGCATGGTTACGGGACCTGAAGTTAATGATTCCTGAGCCCTGCCCTAGCAGAGATGCCCAGTTGCACACATGCTCGTTACTGCAACCTTGTCAACAGGTAGCAGAGCACCAAGTCACCCCAGCAACACTTCTACTACACACTGTCACTTCCTGCTATTTGCTAATAGCTTTCATTACCAAATTAAACACCAAAAACCAACACCAAAGAATAAAGATCTCTGTGCGACCACCACCTTCTCCTAACTTTCTGCTCTTTCTTTTTTTATTCTTACTGGAAGCCATCTCTCCTCACAGCTTGTGGGCTCTGTTACCACGGAGACCAGTTTGGCAGCGCTAAGCCAGAATGCAATTTCCAAGGAATTCCAAGGAATTTAGGTTGGTGCAAAGGTCCCGGCGTGACAGGAGCGTCCCGGGGGTGTCACCGCCGCACTCCCAGCGTGACACATCCCGGGGTGTCCCCTCCCGGTGTGACAGCAGCGTCCCGGGAGTCGGGGACGTCTGGGGGCGTCGCCTCTTGCCCCCAAAACGCGGCGCCACCGCGATGCTAAGAGGCGACACCGGCGCCTGTCGTGACACCGGCGCGAGCCGAGACACGTAAGGGGCTCCTGGCCCGCTCCGTCCCGCGGGTCTGACGCGGGGGCAAGGGGTACCCTCCTCCTTCACGCCCCTCAGGGCGCCCCGGCCGTGGGGAGTTCCGATGCAAGTCTGCTCGCGCTCCCGATCGCCCGCCGGCGGCCACAGCGGCAACCCCCCGCCGTGTCCCCGAACCCCTCCACGGAACTCACTCATGCCCGGGACTCCGGCCGCGCCGGGAGTGCGCCCGGACCGGCTCCGAACGATGTCAAATGGCGGCGTGAGGGGAGGACGGCGTATCCCGTCCCCGCCAGGGGGCACCGTGGGGCGGGGGCGGTACCGGCCGTGCACAGCTCTCGCGAGAGCACGCCCCTCCGCGGCTCCAAATCTCGCGAGAGAACGCCCCGCCCTCCTATAGATTCCAAGTCTTGCAGGTGCGAGTAGGGTGTTGAGCCAAACTTCGGGATTTGGGTTGAACTGTACATCAGCAGCTCTAGCGGGACACTCAGGATTAAGCAGTTGCACTGTGAATAGGTTTAGATTGGATATTGGGAAAAAATTCTTTCCTGTGAGCGTGCTGGGGCCCTGGCGCAGGGTGCCCAGAGAAGCTATGGCTGGCTTTTTCCTGACAATGTCCAAGGCCCCGTTGGATGGAGCGCTGAGCAACCTGGGATAGTGGAAGGTGTCCCTGTACATGGCAGGGGGAATGAACCCAGATGAACTAATAAGGTCCCTCCCAGGCCAGGGCATTGTGTGTTTCTACGATCGTATTCTTGTCTCATCTTTTAAGAAAAAAGGGAGACAGTCCCAAAACGACTGGGCTGTGTGGCTGAGAACCATCAAGAGTGAAGTCAGCAGTAACTGAGGGAAAGTTAATGCCGGCGGTAGCAACCACCGACACTGTCCTAAAAAGAGCCTCCAGACTCAAATGGAGAGACCTTCGGCTCTGCACTAATGAGCGTGAGAAACCACAGACACGCCCAGCAAATGGGGTTGAGTACTAATTAACAGGCAAATTACGTAACTTGCTGTTCGTGATCACTGATGCTTGTGTTTCTTAAAATGTATAAATAGTGTGAGCCGAGAGGCTTTTGCTGGCACACTCCTGCTCTCTGCGCGCTGCAAGACAAAATTCCCACTGGAATAACACACGGAACCCCTGCGCCGCTCCCGGAGATCTCGCGAGAACACGGCGGCCTCGGCGGGGCCCGCCCAGAGGGCGTCAGCGTGCTCTCGCGAGATCACGGGCTCCTCCCCCGAGCCGTGCGGGGAGCGCAAGGACGGGCGGGGCGGGGCGGGGCGGGGAACAGGAGCAGGAACGAGAACGGGGCCGGTGGTGGCCTCGGCATGTCGGGCGAGTGATCCTGGCCGGGGCTGTGGCCCGGGGAAGTGCGGACAAGGGCCGGGCGCTCCCCTCGGGGGAGCCGCGGTGCCGGCGGCGCCCGTGGCCGCGCGGGGCCCCCGTGGGCTCAGGGGTGGGCGGAGCGGAGGGGGCTCCGGCCGCCTCTCCCACCCCCGCGGGCGCCGGGCGCGCAGGCCGGACCCGGGCCCCGCGCTCCCCAACGAGCCGCCCGAGGAGGACGAGCAGAGCGCCGCAGGGATATGGAGGGGGCCCAGCCGGAGGCGCCCGCGCCTCGCCCCGTCTAGGGCGCCCCGCGGGCCTCGTCCCTCCTCCTCCTCCTCGGAGCGGGGCCGCGGCCGCGCGCGGCGAGGAGCGGGACCGGGGCTGCTGCACCACAGGAGGAGCCGACCTAGGTGAGAAACGCTCACCGTCGCCGTAACGCTTTCCAGCGGCGCTGCCTCGGCCCCTCGGGCTCCCTGCCCCGCCGAGGGCAGGCTGCGAGCCCTCGGGCCGGGCAGGCAGCGGCCGGGGCTCACGCCGAAGGGGCCGTAGTGAGCCCCGTCTGCTGCAGCCGATCAAGGGGCCCAAGCATGTCCCGCTCCCTCCCCCTGAGGAAGCCGCGTTGCTTTGATATTTTAGGGGTTTTTTTTAATGAGCTTATATGTATTTTTTATTTTGTGTATTCTGTAATTCAGCAGAAGTACACGGAAAAATAAATTCTTACGCTAGAAATTGCCGTTTTCGGTGGTGCCCATCGACAGGACGAGGAGCAGTGGCCATAAACGAAAACACAGAAGTTCCACCTCAATATGAGGAAGAACTTCTGTGCATAAAAGGTGCAGAGCCCTGGAGCAGCTGCCTGGGAAGGGAGTCCCCCTCCTTTCCATACCCACGTGAAGGCATTACCCGCTCTAGGTCATCCTGCCTTGTTTGGGGGTTGGACTGGATGATTTCTGGAGGTTCTTTCCAGCCCTACCTGCTCTGTGTTTTTTTATGATTTCACACTTGGTATATTTGTCAGTGAGATGTTGAAGTACAGATGCAACTACTCGTTTAAAAGTAAGATGTATTTAGCAAAGCCAAGACTGAAAATTGGCTTAAAAGTCTATGTTGTTTAAAGGTCTATAAAGTTTATTATTGTTGTTTTGCATGTTCCTTATTTTAGGAAATAAGCTTTAAATAAGAAGCAGTTTGTGTACTTCTTCTTTAAAGTTGGTTTGAAATAGAAAAGTGGGGAGAGTAATACTGTGCATTTTTGTTGCCTTTTCAGCAATATAGTTCCACTTTTCTCTGTTTTTTCTCCTGAGAAAAAATAGTTTCTTCTGATAAAATATGTAGTCTACTAAATATGGACTCTAAAACTAGCATATTTCTAGGATGCGTGTGTAATTTTCACTGTCAACTTATGATGTCTTTTGTTTGGGTTTTTTTCCACCATGTGCAATTTCTTTCCGCTTTTGATGTCTGTTTCTTTCAGGAAGAAAATGAAAATATTTTCTGAGTCTCACAAAACTGTTTTCGTTGTGGATCACTGCCCCTACATGGCAGAATCATGCAGGCAGCACGTAGAATTCGATATGTTAGTGAAGAATCGCACCCAAGGCATCATTCCTTTGGCACCCATCTCCAAGTCCCTGTGGACCTGCTCAGTGGAGTCATCCATGGAGTACTGTAGAATAATGTATGATATTTTCCCTTTCAAGAAACTGGTAGGTTCTGCCAGCTGTGCTGCATGTCGTACTTGATACAATAAGGGATGTTTTCATCTTTTATTTAAGTCTTTTAATATCTTTGTGTTGTTTAGAGTAAAATATCAAATTGTAATTTATCACTTAAAATTTGTTTTTGCTTTTTATATACTTCATAGTCCTTTAATTGGTTTCAGTAGTATCTCATTACATATTTAATTTTGGAATCTTTCATTGTCCTAATGTCACTTTACAAGCTGGTGCAAAACATGGAGAAGTCTTTAGGGCAACTTAGAGCTTTATTATTGTGCCCTCCTGAACAATGACTTTACAAAAGCTTCAGTGAGTTACTGTCTTAAGTTAAATTTTGCTGCTGAACACACATGGTAGCTCTCTGTAAACAGAGTTTTGGTATCAACATTGAAGGAATTCTGGGCTTTAGGAAGAGGGCAGGATTGCCCTGGAGCTAACAGGTTGGAAAGGTGGGAGGAGAGTTTCCTGGCACACACAGCTTCTTGTTTAGAAAACCATATTTTCTTAGTAATGTTTGTTAAATCTTGGTAGATATTTACCCCATGATTACTGTGACAGACTTTGGAGAATGATGTGCAGTTTACAGTATTAGAATTTACTTTATTTTGTGGCTGTCCTACTGGAAATCTAAACTAATCCTTAAAATTCTAGTATTTTGAAAATCTTATTTGGTGTAGAGAATGATTTTCTGGTGTACAAATATAAGTAGAAGTTGTTACTCATATTACTAAGGGGAAAACTGAATATAGCAGGAGTGTGTGATTTTTGTGGATTTGTTATTTTGAGTTTGGCTTGTCATTGCACATTATCTCCCGACAACCAGAAAAAAGAAGTGGAATTCATGTTTGTTTAAATTTGGTGAAGTAACCATATAATGGCTGTTACCTTAATATGCTTTTTTGGTCCTTGGAGGTGAATTTCATTGTGAGTGATTCTGGGGCTCATGTGTTGAATTCTTGGACTCAAGAAGATCAGAACTTGCAGGAGGTATGATTTGTAACTGTTCTTTTGTTTTGTAGTTCAGACTTCATTGTGAAATAAACATTGTGTTCAATATGAAATAACTCTGGTTAATTACAGTATTGGTGGATCTAGTTTGAAATTGTATAACAGAATTTCAAATAGCTGCCTGTGAGCCTGGATTCTTCTATAGACAAAATTTAAAAAGAATCTAGTATCTTTAAGTAGAGACTTAAATATTTAAAATAAACATTATGAATAAATTAGTTACATATTTCTTCTGTAATTTAGTGCTACTTCTTGAACTTCAATTATTTTTAAAAATATTCGCATGAGAGGCAAATAACTTACTTTAAATACATTAATTGTTAATATCCTCTTCATGGTTGTGTTGTTTCATCCTGAAAGGGCTCATCCTCTAAAAATTTACTTTGAGGAAGAAATGCATTTCCAAATTCTCAGAAAGTAAAAGCAGAAGGAAACTAACAATATTAGAATGTTTGCGGGTGTTGGATATAAGTTGTTGTTATAGCCAGGTATTTCTCTATAATAAATGAGACTGTTTAATCACAATGAATAAATGAAACTGAAAAGGATAATTTATGGCCACAGGTTTTCCAGAAGGCTGCCAGTAATGTTCGTTAGTTGTTCCATTTGCCCTTCTCCCAGCAACTATAATCTGCATGTCAGATGTGTTAGAATGCTGACTTCTCAGGTTTGAAAGCCGGGAGGTGCCTCTGGGTAACAGTTCTTTGTTCCACCCAGCTGATGGCGGCGCTGGCGGCCGTGGGGCCGCCGAACCCGCGGGCAGACCCCGAGTGCTGCAGCATCCTGCACGGGCTGGTGGCCGCTGTTGAGGCACTCTGCAAGATCACCGAGTACCAGCACGAGGCCCGCACCACGCTGATGGAGAACGCAGAGCGCGTGGGCAACAGGGGCAGGATCATCTGCATCACCAACGCCAAGAGGTGGGGAATGTAGGGCCTGTGCTGCCCCTACACCAGCGGTTCAGACATTCTCACAAGGGCTGCAGGCATCTTTTTTGCACAGATCCTTCTTAGAGTACTTCTCACCTTATCAAAGATTTTGTTTATGGGATTCTGACAGTAAAATTCCAGAAGTTTCAAAGATTTCCCACTTTAAGTAGAGAAATATTCAGTAGCTTTGAACAGGAGGATTGATGGTGCAGCCTTAAAAGAAGTCCACTTTTCTTTGTAGTGACAGCCATGTTCGGATGCTGGAGGATTGTGTTCAGGAGACCATTCATGAGCACAACAAGCTTGCAGCTAACTCTGACCAGTGAGTATG